ACGAAGAACAGGCTGAAGAGATGAACAGTGAAATGCAATGATCTGGTGCTAGAGCACAGCATGGTCTTAAAGACAAGTGTGCCTCTCAGGTTCTTCCTTCTCCACCTTCGACTATTTACCACATTGAAAATAAAGTCACTGGGCAGATAACTGGTGACTCTAAATCCAACACTCCTTTGGGATATATTGCTTCTAATGGGCCAATAGTTGTTTTTACTAACACTCTAGTTAGGTGAACTATTTCTATTTATCCTTCACAGGAGGCTGATGATGAATAGATGAGGGACAGAACAAGAAGAAAATGTGGTTATCCTTATGAAAATGGAGGAAAGTGAAGGTCCTCTAAAAAAAAAAAAATAATAATAGTGACAAGAGGCAAAGGTCACTTGAAGTTATCTATGTTTAGTTATCTCACCATGTTCTCCAAACCTACACATGCATATATCTACATTCTTCTAGACAACTCATTCTGGTACAAAACCATATTTGGCTTTTTACTTTAATGAATTGCTCCATATGCATGTCTTGCTTCCCCAGTTTTACATTTTAAATGTTAAAAAAAGGGAATCCAGAATATGGTAGGGAAAGAATGTGAACAGAGTTTCAGAGAGAAACGGATGCAAATGTTGGTCTCATACACACCACTTGTGCTACCTTGAGTCAATTTCCAGCCCCTTCGAGATTCAATGTCTCATATATAGAATGTTCCTTACATGAAAATTATTATGAAGCATGTACATGATGATATCCTCAAAACCTCTGACAAGCTGTGCTTCAGGTAAGATGACATTCATGTTTCTCCATAAAAGGCATTCATTCTACCTTTTAAACTCTTTCCATAGCAGTCATCTCTGTACATTGTAAAGAATGTCAAATGAAAATGAATGTTCTCTGTTCTACTTTGGCTAACCATATCTAAACAGGAAGTGCACTTGGGTGCATTGGTTTGGAAGATTTGTATAATTAGTTTGTGTATTCTTAACTGATAAGTAAAAAAATATATTTTGTTTTTCAGATTAGAGCAGTTTCTGTAAGACTGTGGTAATACATTTGCAGTTGTTTCTAAATAAGCACAAATGAAAGCTTATTAGGAAATTATATTCAGTTGGTTGTGTTTACTATTATTTTTAGACTCTGTGAATCACCAAGAGTAATTACTTTAAAATGAAATAGAGTTGATGAAAGTAATATGGAGGAAGTGAGCTCATAGCTAGACTGAAATGTTCATGCAAAAAATGTGTTCATTTTGAAGCTGCAGAAATAGAAATATCAAATGGATTGTCATTTCAATACCCCTCAGAAAACAAACAATTCAGTTAGCATCGTCTAGTCAGTTTGTGTCAAATGTGTTTCTGCCAGAATTAAATTTGGTTGTGTTTCTCAAGAGCAAAGAAATTCTCTATGGCAATGCCTAGTTTTAATTTGGTTCTTAAAAACAAGCTGTGAGAACCACAAAGGCACAGATGAAATGCAATGCTATTCTTTCTGGTAGTTTTTGCAACAAATTCTGTAGAAGGAAATGTATGAAACTAAAAAACTCATCAGCTCTTCATTTCTGAAGGGCACTGTTACTTTGTTCTCTAGTGAAAGACAATTTATTAGAAATTGTTTAAGTTACATAGCAGAAATTTGAGATTTTAGTAGATTTTGTATAGCAAATTCAGAATCAGCTTTTAAAACGTTAGTGATAGCTTCCTAATCATTATAAAAAATAGATGACTTGTCTAGCTATTTTAAGCATTCCCTTGTAATGTTCAACTTGATATTTTATCTCTTTAATTTTTAGAATGATTGCTATGAACGCACAACAATATAGTGCCATAAAGGAATTTTAGAAATGAAGTGTTATAGGTGGGCATATAGTAGGCATTTTCAGTAGTATTGTTAGAATATATGGATCTGTATAATTAAAAGGGGACAACAACGTACATATACAAGCCCACTAGCTCACATTGTGAAATGGAGAAAAAAGTGTTTCCAGTCTGTGAACACTTGATGGAATATGAGACAAGGAGGAGAAGTGTGAAAGCACTGTGAAGATGGCACTCTGAGTTACTTTATGTTTTGAAGACACTGTTTGAAAGGTAGCTTACAGAACCATGTGACTGATTCTCGTCATCACTAAGGTGAATGCCGTGTGAGGAGGTGTGATGATGCTGAGTGAAAAGCTCTTCCCGCTGAGTGGAGCCTCCTAATTTATGAGTACGTTCTTTCCACAGCTGTGATCATTATCATTTTAAGCACATACACAAAATGGAGCATGTTTAAACATGGTATATTTAGAAACATGAGAGATATGTCAGTTAGGATGCTTTGACTACAATAGAAAAACCAATGTCAAATGGACCAAGTGTAACTCAAAAGTCCAGAGCATGGAAATTTCAAATCAGGTTGACTCACTGGTTGATCAACGTCACCAAGAGCCAAATGTTATTTTTGTTGTGGTTTTGTGTTTCCTATATTACCAAACTGCCAAGATCTTGGATAAATAACTTTCATATCTACAGAAGTCTGTTGCAGTCTAAAGGAAGTTGCACCAACAAATCCTGAGACTATCAAAGGGTGCTAATTGACCAGCACTTGCTCATGACTCATGTGGGCCATGGCCTTATACAGAGTCACTTATGAACGTGGGAGGCAAAATATAAATAAATGAATGAATAAAGAATTGACAACAGAGAAAGGATTCTGAATGTTCAGCAACCAACAATTAATTAAAAATCAAATGTCATTAAATACAGTTGTCTCTGTCAAAACTCATTGCTGTATCATTTAACTTCATTGCAGCCTTGGTTCAAAACACAAAACTCATGTCCTTTGTATTGGGTAAGTCTCCATACCACATGGTATGGACAACATCCCTGAAGCACTTCACCTCAGTTCAAAAACTATTTTTGTTATCTTAGGATCTGTTTTGTTTCCACTGTATACTGTTCTGCTCTTATAGTTACATAATAATTAAATTACAGGAAACAAAAAGCATTTAATATTTTTCTACCATGATTTCTTAGCATGCAAACCTTTCCAAAACAAGCGTTAGAAAGGGAACTTGCTTAACAACTTCAAGATTTCATCCAGCAGGAAAAGAGAAGTTGCAACTCCTGGATGCAATGTGGGTTCAGGATACAACAGTTAAATACCTAACAATAGCTTTTAATCATAAAGTTCAACAAAAATATTTGTATGTGTGAAGTTAAATTTGTAAGACACAAATGTACCATCTCTTAATTCAGAATGAATTAATCCACAAGCAACCAGCCAAGATGTTTTACTCCTGAAATATGTTATTATCTTGACTGTTACTAGAGTTTCCAATTTGGTTGAGAAGTGAAAATTTCTTTCATAAGCTAACTCTCTATAGTGCAACAGAAACAGAGAAAAGCAGGTAACTTAAACTTTGTATGTGCATTGGGATGTGGTGTGTGTTTGGGGGATGAGAGAGAGAGAGAGAGAGAGAGAGAGAGAGAGAGAGAGAGAGAGAGAGAGAGAGAGAGAAAGGCTGTGGAGGTGTGGAGGCCAGAAGTCAATGCTGAATTTCTTGAATGTCTTTTGTAATCCTGTTCCATCATGTTTTTTGAGGCAGGGTCAGTTTAGTTGTTCATTTCACAAAGTTCTATAAAGAGGCCACCATCCGCCTATCAGTTTAATTTTGTGGATATAGAAGTCAATAAAGTTGCCCTCATTGTGGACTCCCTAACTCGTAGTGGAAGACAACAAAATGTATGTGAAGAGATAGGTAAGAAACAGCACAGCTGGTGGTGATGAGTATTGTGGAAGAAATTGATTTCAGAGATTTAGGAAATTGAAGACTTGTCTTTTCATTTTTGTGTTTTTGATACCATATTGCCTTATCCTTAAAAGGAAAAAAATGATTATATTTATTGACGCCATTTATCTCTTTGATTGAAATAACTGCCTCTTTGACTTATTAGAAATGAGCATGTTTGATACTGGCTACTACATAAAATCATGGGCAAATGGACCTCAACTCAAGTTGACATTCATATTTTTTCTGATACCACATCAAGTCAATTACACAAAAGTTTCCCCTTGGATAGCATGATTAATGAATAAATATGTTTATTTTCAATTTCCCCTGAAGTGGTGACGTTGTTAAAGAATTCAATATACCCAATTATAATCAGATATTTTTAATTAACAGATAAAATATTCTTTGAGGTGAACTGTGGGGATTCCATTAGCTCAATATTTTGAACTTTCATGTAGCCCAGGGTTTGATTTTTAAAACAAGTATTTATTTTGGCATTAAATTATGAAAGCTCTTAGTATTATACCTTAAAAAAATAATAACAATTCTTAGAAACTTATCCTGATACCAGGGTATTCTCAATTTACATTTCCCAATATTACTCAACATTTCCTATTACATCTCAAAATGTATTAACTGAGTTTCCTCTTTGTTGTTTACATGGCCTTTCAGTCTCATCGTTGGTGTGTGTGTTTCAGCTATGTCTTCAGACTGTTATTAAATATAGAAGTAAATAAAAAGTAAGAACTAGGCTTTTTCAACTAATATGGTTGAATTTTCATAAACTCCTTTGGTTTTGTGTGGGGGGGTGGTTTGGCGAATATCCTTTAGTAAAATTAGAATTATACTTCTGTGGAAAGTCTAAATTCAGAATAATTACAATATAGTAGTTTTATATGTAAGATAAGGCTCAGCAATAACAACCTTGCATGTGACACTGGTGGCATGTATCTAATGGATGACAAACTTAAGAGTTTAATCTTTAACCATCATGACTGAATAGAATTACCTCAAATTGGATTAGACACAGTATGAGAATTCTTAGTGTCTCTCTCAGAACTAAAATTCCTATTGCATGCCACACTGACTTCCACGTGTCATTTTTGGTATGAAGGAAACTTTTTCTTACCCAATGAGTCAACCAATTTAAAGGAATAACAGATTTACTTTGGTTCATGGTATCAGAGGTTTCAATCAATGATCACTTGGCTCCATTACTTTGTGTCATGTGTCAAGGCAAAACATCACGGTAGGAACAGTTGGTAAAGAAAGCTCCTGGTGTCATGGTGGCCTGGAAATAAGAATTAGAAAAAGGCTCTTAAATCTTTGTGTTCATTATTGACATTTCAGCCTGTATATTGTGTGTTCCTCAATGTCTAGTCTTCCCCTGTGCTCGTATAGATCTCCTACATTATGGATTTTTACTTTATTTTTCCCTTGCTCAGGGTCTTCCCTGAGTTCTGACATCTGTGACTCTCCTACTCAGAGATGAGTGAGCTAATGAGGTTTTCATGCAACATTTTCTAGAGTGGACCCATGTCATATGTGAGTCAGCACGTCACACAATACCACAGTCATATGTGAGTCAGCATGTCACACACAATACCACAGACACATGCCTAAAATACAAGTTCATGAAGTCTGCCCTTAGCTCTGCTGTTATCCCATGAAACTTGTTATCTTCTTCATTGTCAAGAGGTACTGACTCTCAGTGTTATTAGTGCTCTGCTAAAGAATGAAATCAAATAATCAAAGAAAGTCTTGGAAGCTATAATTTCATACTTTTCAATCAGTGACATGCACACAAAAAAATTCTAAAGTGCATGAAAAAGAAAAAAACCTTCCTTTATGTCACTTTGATGACTACTATAATTAAAAATACTTTTTGAATATTTCGTGTGTGTGTGTGTGTGTGTGTGTGTGTGTGTGTGTGTGTATGCTTTCATAAGAGATGAAGCCTCATGGTTTATAGTTAACAATGGATGAAATGGGAAGGAATGCCATTTGGGCCAATGGTCAGTATAAATCCCTCAATCACTCACCTTTTCTTTTTGTGTGAGGTTGGGGGTGGGGCACAACACACTTTTGTTTCACATTCAAAATGCGCATGAAATTAGGGATTTAACTAAATGTATTGTTGCCCTTGTGACTATTCTGACAGTACTTCCTTTACACTTGAGAACACTGGCAACATTTTCTGGAATGTATTTGCTTTGATTTTTGAAATACACTATATATTCCATTTCAAAATGGGGTAAAGTAACATACTTAACTACAAAAATGTAGATTGTTAAGAGATAATTTTTCTATTATTTATTGGATAAAATCTTGAGGAGAAAGAATGGGGGGTACCAAGCAAGTTTCAGAGCTAACCTCAGGAGAAATGCCTGTGAGGGGTCAGATTCTTTGTTTTGCTCCTTTAATTTGGAGAACTTCACTCTGATAGCAGGTTTGACACTGAGGGGCTGCATCCAAGATTAGCCCACAGGTCAATAATAATTCTTGTTAAGACAACTGGACCAATTCTCTGGTATGCTAAAATCTAAGAATGGGAGTCTAGTGAATGTTGAAGTTATCCGTTTCAGATTTTACCCATTTCTGGATGTCCTTGGGGCTTTTTTTTTTTTTTTTTTGTCTTAATGCTTTTCTGTTCATTTTAAGCTACCTTCAGTTGCCTTTTCACATGTAATTAAATGAAATTCAACAAGTATCATCTCCCAGGTACATCCATTGGCAAAAGAAGGTATATATCGACCACCAGAATTTTGCTCATACTTAAAGAATTTGTAACTGTAGATTCTAAGAAGAGCCTGAGATAAGTGGTGGTTAATGTTGTCATCTAGAGGAGATCTAGAATCTTCTAACAGATGTGCCTCTGAGCATGCCAGTTTGGATTAACTGAGGAAGGAAGATGGGCTCACTATGCTGGCATCATTCCTTGGCTGAAAACAAAGACAGAAGTGGACTGGGCATTAGCATTATTTCATAGTTTTCTGTTTCCTAACCGAGGATGCCATGTGATTATCTGCCTCATTTGGCCTTCCTACTATGAAGGGCTGAATACATGAAAGATAAGCCACACTAAATCCCTTATCTTTTATATTGCTTTGCTGTAGTTGGAGGTTTTCTCTGTCTTGCCTAGTCCTACTGGACTGGCTTCTCTCCTGTCCGCTGGGTCCTTGAGGTAGCTTATGAAATAATGTCTCAGAGGCTAATATTAAATATAATTGTTTGGCCAATGGCTCAGGCATATTGCTGGCTAGCTCTCTGTTGCAAATTAACCTATTTATATTAATCTATATATTGCTGCTAGCCTGTGGCTTACCAGTAATTCTCCAGGATGTTACTCCTTTGTCAGCTACATGGCATTTCCCTGACTCCACCTTCCTTTTCTCTGCATCTTTGTTTGGATTTCCCAATTAGCTATATTCTACCTGGCCATTGGCTGAAACCAATAAAAGCAAGGTATATTCACAGCAAACAAAAGGACATCCCATATCATTTGTCTGAGTATTTTCAGATGATATGAAAAGAAACTCAGGCAACAGTTCTAAAAGTAAATAAAAAAAGTGGGGTTCTACACTGTGCCTTGTAAGATGAATGTTCCTGATTAAGTTCCTTGGTAGAGGTTGTAGCTGTCCTGTTCCATGCCTGGTCCATCCTTCTGCAAACTTAGGTTGAGGAAAATGAAAAAGAATTTATGAACAGAAAAAAATAGAGAATTTTAAAACATGGATAATTGAAGATGAAAGGGAGCAAATAAAAAAAAAATTTATACAAAAGTCATTGCAAGTTTTTTAAATCATAACAAAAGGAGATTATGTGTAAATAATTGTGCAAGATGTATTAGAGACTAAAGGGAGAAGATATGCAGAGAGGAGGCTGCACTTTTTTGCTATATCAAGTGAAAGGAGTTACTCCTCAATGGCTCATCTCATCAAGTGTTCAAAGCCTGCCTGTTCTGATATGCCCACCTCTAGTACCTACATCCAAACATTGCTGAGTACCAGAATTATTTAGAAATGCTTGACAATCTAGATGTATAGACTCAGTGTCATATCATTAATGCTAGGTCCCAGAAATTAATCAGCAGCACAGTTTTTAAAATCTGCCCACTGGAATTACACACCCCATTCCCTATCTTCTGTGTTCAAAGCCACATGACAAAGTTCTCTCGATTTTCTGTTTTTCCCCTTCTAGTTTCCTTGGTATTATCATTCTAATTTTTTCTATTTCTGTGATTTTGGAAGAAAAATGTCTATGGTCTTCAAAGGTAATGCGTCTCTGATTCCCTCAGGTGCAAAGGCACACTTTTTCCTACATAGACCTCACCTCGGATCAATATTTTTTTCATATTTCAACTTTTTTCATTAGTCTAATAATTTCTCAAATAGCTGTCCACGAGGAAAAGGCTTTCCTTACAGCTATCAATATTTCCTCTTTATCTCCATCATTAGAACCCTTCTTCCTTCACTGATATGTATGGATTTTATATTTTACCTTTCAACCACAGAGTCTCATTTCCAACATCAGTGATGCAAATCTACCAAGGCCCTGCTACCCACATCCTGTGACTCATCTCAACCCTCATCTAGTCCAGTCTTGCTACACTACTTGACAATGTTGAAACCTTGTCTCTCAATGCTTTACACAGTCTCTCTTTCCTTTGTTGAAGATGTTCTTCTTACCACAATGCATCCCTAAAGTCCCAAGTCACATCGTTTTTCCAGAGCTCATTTCACCCATTCCTGAATCTTACTCCACAGACTTAATTCAGCCAACAGAAATGTCCATTATCCTGAACAAATAGATGCTTAGAAATTTCTATATGTATTATCATAATAAAGGTTTAAAACTTTTTCTGTGAAGAATCTTTTACTGACCTGAAGAACAGATATAAAGAGTTAGGAAAGTTTAAAGGTGGTAATTTTCAGTTTCTATATGTCTAACTTAAACACATGACCTATGACCAAAATCAAAGCTAAGAGATGAAAATTATTCCATTTGGAAACATGTCATCTAAACTGTCTGTGTGATGTTGGCACAGACTCATATGCAAGACATTTTTGTTGCAGTATGAAATCAGATCCAGTTTTCTGTTCAAAGCAATCAAAGTGAGAGGAAGTTAGGAAGAGAAGTCTATAGACACAATTATTTGAAAATCAAAGAGATAAGACTTAAAGAGTGGAAAAAAGGAAATTCTTTGAAATATTTGATACCATATTAATAGACTGTAACTAGTATTTATTCTGAATACAAAATAGGAAACTATATTATAAAAGGAAATTAAAATAGTCTTTCAGGAGCTTCATTCATGAATTCATTCGGGTTTTCTGCCAGCCCCATACTGGAGATGTTACCTTGTGGCTGACCTTGTGTCATGAAAGTTCTATTTATGGCACTCAAAGTTTTCTACTTCTGAAGGATCTGGTATGATCAAATATCTGATTGCTTTTAGAGTTATGCTTTTCTCTAAGAATAACTGAGGAGGGCAAGTTCCTGAAGCATGAAATATTAGTTTATATGATAGTCCTATGCATGCTAGAAACAATTTCAAGTTACCAACAATTGTCAGACTTGATGATTTGAGTTCAAATCCCAGAACCCTAGTGGAAGGAGATAACTGACTCCCACAAATTGTCTTCTAATCTGCACATATTTTTCATGGCTCATGTGCAAGGACGTGCACACACACACACATACACACAGACACACATACACACAAAGGGAGGAGGAGGAAGCATTTAAAAGATAAGATGAGTGAAATAAACTTACATGTGACTACACCAATGCGGTCTTACTCACTGCCACCATCACCACCATCTCTAATGTTTCTGGAGAGCATAGTTTGTGCTGGACATTCTGTTACATGCTTCAGGCTCCATAACAATGCTGTGTGACCATTTGATAAGGAATATGTCATGGTTTAGAATTATTTCCCTTAAACCATCTATATTATCAAATGGCAAGGATGACCCTTATCTGTAAATCCAATCCAGGAGCTCCTAAATATCACAACTATCAAATCCACTTTTATGCTACTATCTAACTCTATGTATGATGTTATAAGACTCTTTAAACATACCACCATTTGCCATCTGGGTTGTCTATATTTCTTTAACTGCTCAAGTTAACTGGTACCTCAAACGTGCTGTTGTACAACATAATTTGAATTTCCCTGCAGCCATAACTTCCATAAGTAAAACATGTATTTAGTTTAATCCATTTGTACTTGTTCTTTAATTTATTTGCTCTAGTTAATATATAGTATTTTACTAATGTGATTTAGTT